GCGGCCGCTGGTGCTCGCTGTGGGGCTGCGGGTGCGTGGGGATCCCACGGGGCGGCCTCAGCGTCCGTCCACGGCGGCAGGGGAGTGCTCCCAAGCGCCAGCAGCTCTGCGTGACGTGCAGTGTGTCTCCATCGCCCGCCCGCCCCACAGCTGGCGCTGACGGGTGTCTGTTTATCCATCGCTTTGAGGCTGCACAGCGCGGTGCGTAACGAAGAGGCCCTGGCGGCCTCGGTTCTTCTTCTGATACAGCGCTGTGCTGCACTGCAGATACACCAGGGAGAAGTTTAAACTTCTTCCCTTATCAGTTAATAAATCAGCTTTCAGGTGGTTCCTGCCAATGGAATCATCTTTTCGGGTTCATCCTTGAAGTTTCTGAGGTAGTGCAGGCAAATCTTGGGTGACTTTCACTTGAGAAAGGGCTCTCCAGTCCCTTCCCTTCTGCCCGCAGGCACTATCCTGCCTACAAGATCTTCTCGTGGCTGTCTCCCATGTACGCTGTGGATGTCTTGTGAACTAGGTGCACACGTGGGCTTGGGCTTGTTGAGAACATCCAGTCAGAGGGATTTGAGTAGAGCTTAACGAGTCTTGCATTGCATAAAGCCCTAAAGCTCAGGAATGGTTTATGCTTTTTTTTAAAATAGTAATTTGTTTTCATATTAGACGGTCTGCGCAGCCAACCTGGCACAGTGGCAATACACACCTCATAGTATCTCTTGTCACCTCTGCGGTAGCCTCGTACGCTGTATTGTGTTCCCCTGGGGACATGGTACTTGTTCAAAGCCTGGTGCAATTGTAATGGCAATGCTGACAAAATGTGGTTTAACACAGATATTAAGTAGGTTCTCTGTATGTTTATGGTGCCCTGGTGCTGGCAAATGTAACTGGTATTTCATGGATTTCAAATACTTGCTTATACTTGGGGGCTGTTCTTGCAGTAAACTTGACCTGCCTGGAACACCTTGCATGGCCAGGGCTGGGTCTACCCCACATAGCTCAGTGACCCCATACCTCTTCCAACAAAAAACTCCTCTCATCACTGTTTCTGTGCAACATTTTTTATGCTGTTGTGAGATACTAATTTTGTGTGAAATTCTTCTTGTGCCCCTCAGAGCATGCATGATGTTGATTTAGATGAACAGGATCTGCATCACTGGGGGGAAGTGGTATGTTGTTTGCTGTGAGGCTCAAAGGCTGCTTCTGTTCATTTATGCAGATTCCGAAGCATTGAATCCTTTGCATGGGAACTTGAGAGCTGTTCTCTGTAGCAGACAGATGTAGCCTTTGGCAGTTCATATCTGAGAGCTGAAGATTGCGTTAGATAGAAGTACATTGCAAATAGATCAGAGATTCATTTTGTATCAGCACATGAAAATGTGCGCCTACTCAGACCTAGGCAAAGGCTAAAGCTCAATAATTAATATCTGCGTTATTCCTGTTGAGGCTGGAGAAGAAGGTCTGGTATGCTGAGTTTGCTACATGTCTGTTCCTTGTCTGAACTATTTAACTGCAAGACTAAAAATACTGGAAATTATTTCCTTTTCCTTTTGCCCAGGCCCCAAATGTATGTGAAAAATGATGGGAAAATATTAAGAATTTGGGAGAGGCAGAGTTTGGAATGTCAATGAAATATTTATTGCTTATGCCAACAGGTTTTTCCTGTATCTGGGAATTAAAATAAGAATCTGGGTAGTTAATGGAAGGAATCAGCATATGGGTGTCTTCTCAGTGGTTGCTTTCTGCTGTTTCCAGTAAGTGGTGAGGGAAAGGTGATGCACCTTCACAGGTAAAAAGGGTGTTCTTCTGAGGCCTGCAGCTTTTCACGGGTAGGTTTCATGCATGACAATGATTTTGGATCTTTTCATGTAAGGGTCTTGCTATTATGCCTCTGCCTGGCAAGGAAAGAAAAAATATTCATGAGGAATGTTAAACAACCCTACTCCTAGAGTATTCCAGTGCTGCACTTTTCAGATCAGTAATTCAGTGGTGCGACATCTCCTGGCTGAATGGAACTAAAGAAGTTACGGCACGCCTCATGTCTCCTGGAGAGAGCAATGACATAAAAAGTCTTTTGCCTTAAGTCTGTTCAAATGGTTTTCAGCTTAGTAGAGGCCCAAAGGTGTCACCACCTGATGGCTGTTCAATGGCTTGTGTGAAATGGCTCTTAAGGGTCTCAGTTCAATTTCCGAACCTCTCACTATAGCACATTTCTCACTAGTTACACTCGAAGAAGATCTAAGTGGATAATTTGTAATGAATAATGTGCTCACATGCTGCCTTTTTCTACTCAGAAGTTTTAAGAAATGAGGTAATTTTCATTTGCTATTTGAAATTATTTGCTGATAATTTCTGCAAATTAAATGCTCTCAAGCGGTTCGTTCTGTATGTGTAATATTCTTGTGTGTCGGCAGGGCTAAGCTCTCCAGCCTCACTACAAGGCAGTCGTTAGAGCTGGGTGGCAGACAAGTAACTGGGTAAGCTGAAGTTGAGAAGTGGCTTGATCCCAAGTCACAGTGAGAGGTGGGAGTAGAGTATAACTGTTCAACCTCAGCAGTTCACTTAATGGGGTAGGAAGCACAAGATTAAATCATTTCCTCATGAAAAGGCACCTTAATATGTCAGGGTTATTTAATTTCTTGAGGGGGAAGGGATAGGTCTATCTTCAAGCAGTTATTGTTGCTTAGATGCACCTAAAACCAGGTTACCCTGTGAAGAGCAGAATGGATGAGCTGAGACCGCCCCATACCTCCTCCCCAGGCCGACAGTCCCAGCTTCCCTCCTGTCTCACTTAGCTCCCTCCTGTCTCCACTTGTGACCATGGGCATGATGGCATGTGCTGCGTGTGCTGTTTGCCCAGGAGGTACGCAAGGCTTGTCGGATGGCTGCCAGCCAGCATGGGGACAGCTGAGCCCACCCAGCTTCCCCCGGGGACAGATTTGGCTGTCTCCTTACTACCTAATCAGATCTTCACTTGGAAACTTGCTTGCATCGAGGCCTGCTATCCCTCGGTCAAATTTGGTTGACACTGACCAGTAGTACCTGGGGAAGGGAGGCTGAGGGTCAGACAAAAGCTTTCAGTGGCTTCTGTTCTGCGCCCTTCAGAAACGGGGTTAGAAGTGTTGCTGTTTGGTCATGCACTGGGACACAGGCTGCAGACAGGCTTCTTCTGCTGCTCCATATGCTGTTGATCCAGTCAGGGCACAAGCACTCGGGAAAGAAGCAAAAGCAGTTAGGGGTGTGTAGGGGGTGGTGGGGAATACCAACTGTTCAAAACAAAAAAAAGGCTATGTGTTTCTGGAGGGGCCATGGTGAATGCTACTGGATTTTTAGGCATCAAAGTAATACGGCTTTACAGAAGGAAGTTGGCATATCGCAGCCCCTGATGTCTTTTGTTCTCAGTATCTCCCTCTTGTATACACGCCCTCAACCAGCATGCTTAAATAGTTCATCCTGCAGCCTAGAAGACTAGAGAGGCTTACCTGTCCTTTGAAAGTCTTGCCTATTGTCTTCCACCCCTAAACTGTTCTTCCTCTGGCATCAGGAGTACCTCTCCCAGCTGGCCAGCAGCTGCCCGAGCACAAGGTTGTTCTGTGCTTCTTTTTGACAGAATTGCCTCACATTGACAGCAGTAATTTGGGGAGCAGTTGATTGCAACCAAAAATCAGACATGCCTCCCATAAACCAGTAGCTGGGTTGACAGGGAGCTAGTGAATTGCTCTGCTGCTAATTGCTGCTGAGAAGGAGGAACAAGGTTTCCTCTAGGAAGAGCAGTCTCCTGATATATCAAGAAGTTTGTGAGATGGTTGTGGTCATCATAGTACAGTGAATTCAGGAGGTCTGCAAATCTCAGACCATGTATTTTTCTTGTCTCACTGTACTGAGCACACAGCTTCTGTCCATATCTGTAAAGACAGTTCTCCCTTCCTGAAAACTTGGTAAACGTATTTCAACTCATCAGTCATTCTTACAAGGCTGTATTCTGGATGAGTGTGGGGGATTGAGATGAGAAACTATCATGTTCAAAAACTTACCAGGCAGGGAATTTCATATATAACAAACACGATACAGGGTAGTGCAAAGGCTAACAGGATGCAAGCGATGAACACTTTAATGACGATACTTAGTTTTTGTCTGTTCAGCATATCTTTGTCATTTATGGATGGAATTCCCTCTAAAATGAGATAGAGTATTTAAAATGTGTTTACAATTCTTTGACAGTTCAAAATTTTCTTCATTTTGGTTAGGTTGGGCTAAGTTAGGGGGACCAGAGCAGAGGAACAATTCAGAGTCTCCTGTAGGCTTTCACAGGAAGCTGTAAATCTCTCTAGAATCTTGGAATCTTTTTACTTTAAAATATTTGAAATATCTTTTCGGTTCCTGCCTGGTCCCCAGGTGAATTTGGTGTGTAAGCCCAGTCACAGTAGTAAGCCTTGTAACTTCCCGATGAAGTCAGGTGAGGTTTTTAAGGGAAGCTAGGAGCCCTTGTGGGGCACACTTAAACATGGGTAACTTCTTGTGAAAGTCGCTGCTTAAATACTGTTTTCTCATCACAGCCATGGATTCACAAAACACCTGGGCCAATGCACTTATTGGTAGAGGCAATACTGCTATTCAAAGAAATCGCTGCTTGGGAGAACTTCGTCAAAGTCGTGTGTGTGAAAGCCAGTATCTTTTTCTATCCTTTACATCTACTGCTATACTACTTTTGTGACTCTGGAGGGAGAACTGGTACGTACTCTCTGAAGTCTGGTTTTCTTGGTGCACATGTGGGACAGTCAAACCCTCTGCAAAAACTTTCAGCTTGGGCAGCTTTGCTGTGATGACACAATTGGATATCCCTGCTAGAAACACTGGAAGTAAAAAGTTTTAAAACCAGATGTTTGTATGTGTTTAAACTGAAGAACCAGAAGCAGTTGAAGGCTAGAATTACTTGCACGCTGACGCAGTTGGCAAGAGGTGGCAGCGTACCTGGCAATTGGCAGTAAAGTACTAGAGACAGTTTTCTTGCTTGTGTGCAATTTCCCAATGTACAGAATTTTCTACATGTATTAATATTGGAAATTATATTTGCCAAAACCTCCTGGCCCTCCCAAAAGAAGGAAAAACACCACCATGGAATTGTTCCAAAACCTGAAGCTTTCAGTAGTGTTAATTCTGGATCATTACTTTCTCCTAGTTCTTCTTCTTTTTTTTTTTTTAATAGGTACAAATAGTCTTTTTTAGTAACTGCTAAGGTATCAGCTATATGAAACTGAAGACTGCCGTCCTCTGACATACCTAAGCATATATTTGCTACATTGAACTTTTTACCTTTTTCTCTAAGAATAAATTTTCTCTGAAACTTTTTTCTGTGGCGTGTTAGTAAAACACAGGTGTGGCTGATAGCAGGCTTCCTGTCTGCACTGGTGACGACTTTCAGGCTCTGCAGGGTACGTTTCTCTAGTGTCTGGTTTGCCAAATCTCCATGCATCTTCTCCAAATACAGCAGATGCACTTGCACGGGGCTTTGAAGACTAAAGCATTCCAGAGTAATGACTTTTTGGATTCTGCTTAACTTCCCCTTGGTTGCTGCTATCCCAGGGGCTGGAAAAGGATAAGAAACATTAGAAATGGCTTCTCTTAAATTATTTGTAGTTCTTCTTGCAAAAGGCTCAGGCCAGCAGAGTTAGCTGTGAGGGACGTACTGCTGTAAAGGAACTTCAGAGACAGCTCGCTGTTAGTGTTACAATGAGGAAAATTCAAGCAAGTTCCCTGTGTGTAATCCCTTTGGTGGTTCTTTTTTGTGGGACTAGCTTTATTCTTAATGCTCAAGCACAGTAAGCTGTTACACTCCGGAGGACAACATTCACACCGTCTAACTTCATAACAACATAACTACCTATGGGCAACTCCCTGAATAGTCAACAGACAGACCCCTCTGTTTGGGGTCCCTGTTGCCCTTGGGGACTCAAAAGGCTGTGTAGGAGCCGAGGCCCTTAATAGAGGTGCTTGGATGCCGAAATCTGAAAGTTTCAGATTTTATGCATAATTACTGATGGCAAGTGACACCAACCCGTCAAAGGTTACTATAATGGTCTCTTTGGTTTTTAGCAAAACAGAGCTAAAATTTTGCATGCCCTCTTGCATCCTTTTTGGGCAGGTGGCTGAGGAATAGCTGAGACAGCTGAAAATGTGAACCAAACCATTAAGAGCCCTGACAGCTTTCCTCTTCCATTCACTCCTTACCTTGCAGGAAGATGTTCAGGCTTCTTATGCTGCCAGATATTTCTGAGGCATTTTCCACATGACATTTGTAGTCCCTGGGGTCTGAGGGAATGGAGTGAAGGATGAACCACTTTTAATTCCAATGCACAGTTAAGTCAGTACTACCCTCTTTTAGTAACTAATTTCAAATGTCAACGTTCTGCTGACAGCAAAGGTGCAAAAGTTTGAGGTGAGGGCGTATGGATTAAAGACTTAGTTCAGCATATGGTAGAGGAGAGAAAGTTAACATACATTTATTCCTAATATTACATAAGTTAGTTTCTTACAAAATCCTTAGTTTTATTCAGGTAGAACTTGCAAGGATGTGAACAACTCACCTTTTCTGCTGAGATTGTTGTGCACAAACACTAAGCCAAATATTAATATTGTGAGCATAATTAAATCTTCTCTTGATAATCTCGAAGCCCGTTTTATCTTTACTGCTTCCTTTGAGTAATGTTGTAAAGGTGTTTAAGCAGATACCGAGCTGATGAGTAGAGATCCCCAAATAGCTCTGTAATCATATATTCCTGTTCAAAACTCCTGCACCTTTAACCTGGTCGACATATGGAGGGTTTAAAGTTAGAGCCTTAATTCACTGTAGATTGTACTAATTTTTAGTTTTGATCCAGTCAGGAGAGATGTGGTATTTGGTAAAAAATGGACCTGAAAAAAAAATCTTACCTGTCGGTCAAATCTCCTTTCAATAGGTATGTCGCAAATTAACCCTGGTCCTGAACACGAGTCCCAGAGTTAAGCACTGAAACGGGAGAAACAGGTAAACGTGGCGTCTCGTGGGAGAGGGGTCTGGGCCACGCCGGGGTCCTGGTGTGGTCTGGGGGCCGCTGGTTGCCATGGGGCCAAGCTCCTTCTAGAATGGGGCCCCACGGCAGCTGCCCCATTGCTGGGGGGCAAACAGAACCCTTTCCTAAAGCCTTCTCCCTCAAAGAGAGGGTCCTCAGCGACCTCCGGGGAGCTGCGGGGGCGCTTGAGCCTGCCCAGACCCTGAACACCCGCAGGCCAAGGGCGAGCCTTGGTGCACAAGTGTGGCTAAATACGCCAAGCCGCTCGGGTGAAGTAAAACCAGCACCATGCAATCCCTCAGCCGGCATCGCCTGCCCTCACAGGCCTTTTGTAAAGACGAGCCTTCCCACTTGCCTAGGGCAGCTCCGAACGGGGGCAAGGACAGTGCTGCAAAGGGTCACAAGCGCTGGCAGGGATTTCTGCCGGAGCTCTGGCATGGGGAGAAGTGATGCCAAGCAGGCTGGTCCCAGGCCATTTCGGGCTTTTTAGATTATTGATAAAGCCTAAAACCACTTAGGAAATGAAGGTAGCCTGTGATTACCTGCCAGCCCTGGTGCAGGTTTGCTCCCAGGAGCTAGGAGGGAGCCCAGGCTGAGCCCCGCGTGCCGCTGGGTGAAATGCAATAGCTCTCGGGGGCAGCTGTGACCAGCAAATTCAGAGACAATACATAAAGGCAGCACCCAGAAATAAGTGGGAAAATTATCAGGCTACTGTCTGCAGCTTTAATCAAAAAGTCCTGGTGAGATTTCTTTAGGCTTCTTGGGTGTTTTTGGAGAATTGGCATTTTCTGTATTAGACACAAGGTGGCGATGAAAATCACTTTTTCCTCCAAAGCCTCTGGCTTTTAAATGCTGAATAACCACAGGTTTATGTCCCCGATCACAGAACGAAGGATAGAATATTGTTGTTCAATCTAAAATAACCCCTGACATTCCAAATGACTGATACTCTAGAGGCTCAAGAAAACGTTTCCATAAGCATTGATAATGCCAGAAGATGTTTAAGTTTAAAAAGAGAGCAAATGGAGTGGGAAGGGCTTGGCATGTCAATATTTATTTTGCATGCCTATTTTGTTTAGATATTCATGGTGGGATGGATTTTAGTATAAATATTTAATATTTACAATCTATCAGGTGGTATAAAAAACCAGATTCTCATTGCAATTGCCTCTTCTGCAGGTATGGAGACTGTGGTTTTTATTTTAGTGTATTCAGCTGCTTTAGTTCAATGATTTTTTTCAATTAAAATTGAAAAACCAATAGTAGAATTAAAAAACCCCAACCCTATGGTAAAGGTGTGAAAAGATAAGATAGTTCTAGAATCTCAAATAGCATGGCTAGTGTGAGATAACATTTGATCTGCTCCATACCTAGGAGGGCTTCCTGATAAACTGGCCCTCGTATTTATGATTAAGTATTTTTCTGAAGTGCTGTGTTTGTTCATAAATGACATCCAGTTACCATAAACTGCAACTTGACGCCAACCATAAAGAATGAATGTCGAATAAGGATACCATTCACCATTTTCCAATTAAAAAAAAAAAAGAATGTGAATCTTCCTGAGAAGTACAGAACGCCACACAATCCCCCCCCCCCAGTGTAGTACAAAGAATATGTAGCTGCAAATCAACACATTTAAATGCTTATCCAGTTGAATGAATCTTTTATTTTGGAAATGGTATATTAATGCAAAATAAAATAAAAATGTTCACTCACGTTTCTCTGCTTGTGAAATGCAGTGCACAGATCTCCAAGGGAGACCTATTAGGATCCTTTATAGAGGAGGATTTCATCATCTTGTCAATAAGTGTGTTCTCACGCAGCTGATCAGAAACGTCTTATCCAAACTTTCTTTTTTAAAGAAAGTTTGGAGAAGACACTTCCCTTCTGTATCCTTTTTTTAAGCTGTATTTCCATACTTAATGATTTCTGTGCAACTTTCTCAAGATAGAAATCATTAGGAATCCAAAATTCCTCAGCCTGTAAATAAAAATTCAAAAATACTGGAAAGAGAAATAGATTATAAATAATTTCAAACAACTAAATGTTCATTTTTAATGCAGTTATTCAATACCATTACTAAATGTTCACCATTCCATCTACAGTGCTCAGTTTTGCTTTCTGTTTAGTTCTGCTGCTGCTCTTCCTGGGCTGGGAATGCCGAGACAAGCCTGACTTTGCAGTTTTACAAGACGATTTAGGGCGCTTCCTGAAGCTGTAAGAAAACTTGGGACCAATAACAGCACATCTTGTGGAGTGAGTTAGCGATGGCAGCTAACCTGCTAGCTGGAGAGAATGAGGTATTTTGTTAGTGATTATCCTTGAAAACAGGCAGATATTGTCAGTGTTGCGAGGATTAACATTTAAATTCTGATGTTTAAAATCTTCTGTAACGTTTTCTAAATAGCTAAAATATGATTTTGCTTTAAAAAAGCCGTCTGACCTTTCTCTCTTTTACTTGCCTGCCAGGATGTGAGTTGTGCCAGGATGGATGGCGTCACTAACCCCCCTAACCTAGAATAATCTTTCCTGTGTTTGCACTGGTGATGTTATCAGAGCCTGGAAAAGAGACGTGGAACCCTAACCTGGCGTCATAAAAGGTAGTAACATTTCCCTTGTATTTTTTTTGAAATTATTTACTTGCATCATTAAGGCTACACTTGCTTTTTTGAGAAAATGTGTGTGTGGCGGGGCGGGGTTGCACGTGTAAACAGTGCATGCACTCCTAAGCCATGCAAGAGTGTACTGTGTCCAATTTCTGAACGAAATGGAAAAAGGCCATGCACTTAACCACCCCCCTCCCCCCCAAGCAGAAATGGGGTTACCGTTCAAAATCTGATAAAACTACTGGAAAGTACTTTGTGAAACAGTATGTTTGCATTAAAACACACATTATTGCTGCCCACGGTTTGAAGCCTGAACACGTTTTTAACCAGTCCTTTGTAACTACTTCAGTCTAGAATTGAGGGAAATTTTGAACCCATTTCTGCTCCTATGTAAATCAGCAAAATTCACCAGGTGTCCTAAATGTGGGATTTGATTCAGCATGGCCAGTAATAATTGCTGGGTATTCCTTACCCTGCAGTGTATTCCGCATCAGTTACTGTAATTCCTCCCAAATTGCCTTTCCTTGTAAAAAGTGTTCTGCCAACACTTGTTGACAATGAAGTGGGATTTTCTTGCTGGCTTCAGTGGGTAAGAGCAGGTGTGAAAGATATAAAGCCCAAAGCTTTTATTTGCTTGTGTAAAATTCACATAGTGGAGTATTTTGGGATCTGTTCTGTGCTGTATGCGTATAGGCTATTAACAGCTGTCCTTCCGTACGATGTGCCCTAGGATCCATCTGTGAAAAAGCCCAACCGTTAATGTTGTAACAGTAAGTGAAATGCTGCTTTAAGGCCATCAAAGCTGAGGGTGGCCCAGGGATATTATTACTGTTTAACTTCAAAAGCGCCTTCCAAATCCATGCTTTATTTTTAAGGTTAATGTATTTCATTTGCTGTTTTCACGTGTTCTTTTCTCTCTTTGCCCTTGAACGGGAGAGTTGCTACAGGATTTAATTATCTGTAGCAATCGCTCCTCCAGCAGTATTTGAATAGTATTTATTAACCGAGTGGATGAAATGGGCAGGGCAGACAAGCAGCACGCAGGTTTTAGCATGACCAGAGTGCTCACAACACTAGGCAGGATGAACTACCGCACCTGTCGTAATCTCCGATTTTGTAAGTTCAGTATATAGTTAATTATCAGTGATTTAGGACACAATCCCTCAGCGTGCCAAGCACTACCCCTCACTTTGTGTGAGCTGGGATTTAGTACTGTGTATGATTAGCCTAACATTGACTAGCCTTCTCTCTTAGCACCTTCATACAAGTATTTAAAGGGAGGAAGAGTCTTTACGTAAAAGACATTATCTACAGAGATATAAATAAAAATGTCCATGCCCTGAACAATTTTCCAGATTTAGTCCTGATGGAGGTGAGAACATGGTCTGTTCCCCCTAATAACATTATTAACCACAAAGCTACAAAGCCCCAGATAAGATTTTCCAGATGTGCAATACTTGCCTGCAGTAGGCACACATGCCAACACGTGCTCCCAAGTCAGTGTACCGTTTCCCGGTAGAGCACAGTCTCACATCCCTGGTAACCATTGGGCCCCAGATCCCCAGATAAGATTTTCCAGATGTGCAATACTTGCCTGCAACATGCAAACACGTGCTCCCAAGTCAGTGTACCGTTTCCCGGTAGAGCACAGTCTCACATCCCTGGTACCATTGGCTTCAGTCTTGAAACACATTTTGAAAAGAAATTGCCTGGAGTTTTAAACTGTCGTCTGTGGCTGAGGAAATTCACTGTTCTGTCCTCACTCCCGCTGCTGCAGTGAAGTTTCTGTGAGCCTGAGACAGCTGTCCCAGGGCAGTCCCCAGAGCCAGGACGAGCTCTCTCAGGAGTATCCTCTCAAACCTGGCATCGCCCTTTATTCGAAGTGCAGGAATAAAGAGCCCAGTGCACATATAAATTATACAACAAAACCCTGTTTCCCCCAGGAAGGAGAGGAAGGTCCAGTGACGTACGGGTGTTGGCTCTGTCC